TGGCCTAGTCGTGCGCAGTGGCTCTTTAACAGCGCAACCAGGACCCTGTGGTATCGGTAATGCCATGAGGAAGTGAAAGCACCATGCTCCCATCAGCAGCAACAGGAACCCAAGGAAGCCACCAGAGGGTGGCTACAAACAAAAAAATTATATGATATATGTATGTGTGTATCTATCCGTGTATGTGTGGGGGTCTCTCTGTGTCAAAGTGTGTGTATCTGTATCAGTGCATATGTACATGTCAAGGTATGTGTGTATCAGTGAGTGTATCTGTGTCAAGGTATGTGGGAGTCAGTGTGTGGATTTGTGTGTCAGGGAGTGTGTGTGTGTGTGTGTGTGTGTATGTGTATATATATTTATATGCATACATCTCTGCAAACACCAACACAACTTGCAAACAAATCCCTGCATTCAATTGTAAAAAACTACACACAAGTACACCACTGTACTTTAATGTTAATAGTACATACAAATACAACCCAACATGCACACTCTATACAAAAACATGCTTACATTCAAACACACAAACACTGCAAGGATGGTGAAATTGTAAATTCCCAGATGTCTTAGCATTGTAGGAGTTTGACAGATGGGATCTACCTTTTAGCCACCCTTGTGCTAAAGGGGGTCCAAAAAGAATTCTTGCACCAGGGCCCTCTCTACTTTGGTTTCACCACTGCCCCTTCTGATATCAGACCTGCCAGTTGGCTGGCTATGTTATACGTTCATTAAATAAAAATATATTAAGATAATCCATTTTAAACATTGGCATTAATACAGCCTTTTTCAGTAAATGTTCTAGTATTCACATCTTCCATGTTTAAGGTTAAAGGGACACTATAGTCACCAGAACAACACAGCTTATTGAATTTCTTCTGGTGAGCAGAATCATTACCTTCAGGCTTTTTGCTGTAAACACTGTCTTTTCAGACAAAATGCAGTTTTTGCATTACAGCCTAGTGATAACTTCACTGGCTACTCCTCAGATGGCTGTTAGAGATCCTTCCTGGGTCATGGTTATTCAAAGCAAGAGCGAAGACTTAATTATTCCTACCTCTGTCCCATTTACCATTTGAAAATGCCCACAGCATTATGATATTTAAAGGAACACTCACAGCATGCTCCCCATCTAAGTTTACTCCTGAAGAAGTAGCTGAATTACTCAATAGAATAAAGAACGGCCAATCGATAAAGGATTGCACTCGTTGGCCAAGAGCACTCAGATAACACTCTCAAACCATGAGTACAATGCTGCATGACACGATGCCGGGGATGCTGGCAAAGTAATACCCAGGTAAGTTGTTAAACTGTACTAAAAGAGTTTGGCTATTTAATGTGGAATGAGGCCAGGGCACTCCACGCACCATAACCACTACATTGGCTGCATAGGTTATGGTGCACAGAATGTTCGTAAAAAAAATAAAAAAAATATTGAGAGATAATTAAAAACAGGAAGAAGCTTCACTCAGAGAACTGAATCTGAGGTGTATCACAGTTATGCACGCCAGAAAATCATTTAGTCAATCGTCTTGCCAAGATATCTTTTCAGTGGATAAACAAAGAAATAGCCTAGTTTGCATGCACTGAATTACAGATTCTTTAGAATAGACTCAGCTCAATCTTTTTCTTTAAATGAAAACTAGAGTAAAAACTGGAGATTTCGGGACTTTGAACGCAACAGAAGTACAAAGCTTGCAATTTACTAACCCGACTTTATTTATGTTCCCTCATAGACCCGATGGGGATTGGAACCAAGCCATTGGCTTATCACATGGATATTCCCTCAAAGTAGGGGGGATAGTTCTGCAAATGCTCTGCATCGATTTTAAATGTTGACAATCTGTGGCAACATGTGGAATTTATACACATCTTGAACTTTAACCCCTTTAGGACCAAACTTCTGGAATAAAAGGGAATCATGGCATGTCACACGTAATGTGTCCTTAAAGGGGTTAAACATAACATGCTTTCACTATTTGCATGTTAGTATTTATCTCCACAAGTCAAGTGTCCATTATTCTTTGGGGTTGGGGTTGGAGGGTAGATACAATTCCATGTGGGCAACTTCCCCAATCCCATCACACAAACAGAATATAAAAAGGCCTTTCACTTCACCTATCCACATTTACCTACAACAGGAGATGATCGTTCACCTTTCTCCAAGTTCATTTACATACATCTAGATCCAACTATTTACATACACACACTACTTTGCTTTCCTTTAATTATCACTTCCATTATCATAGCACGCTCTCTTCTCTCCCTCCTTATTCATACAACTTGCCTAAATACTACTGGATTTTACATTTGAATAAAGTAAATTCATACTGACAGCCCTGATTACCAGACAGTGGATATCAGATCTGCTAGACCACACAGAGCACACTTATTTGCGTTTGCTATATACATTGTTTGAATGTGAAAACAGGCACACAATTTTTCTAAATCTTCTTGGAATTTTTGGAGGTGACCCTCAACTAACTGTAGAGCAATGTGTAAGTGGCAGAGAGGCTGGTTAAAATGTTTAGTTATATGCCCACCCTTCCACCCACTATATGCTACTCTGTGCAGAAGGATATGCCAGGCTTATCCTAGCCGCACTACAGTGAGCGTCAGTGCAAAGTTGGGGTGCTGTGTGCACACCCTTTTGGGTTGCTGCCCCCACAGACCACCCCCTTATTACTTTTACTCTTATCTGCAGAATTTATTGCAAATCAACTAAACAAAAAGGAAGATATGGAAAAGGGATAAGCCACACAAGCAATAAAATTGTTTTGGTCCTTCTAGTGTCCCTTAAAGAAACGTTATAGCCAACCCAGACCACTTCATCTCAATTAAGTGTTCTGGGTGCCTATAACGTTGGTCTGGATGCCATATGCCAACCATTTTAAACCTGAAGCTGAGAACATTGCTATCCTGCAGGGACAGCAATGTTTTCGTTACTGAGTTAACCTGTCAGAGGCGTTTCCATGAAACAATGCAGTAAACTTCCACTATTTCTATCAACCATCTGATTGGAGCAGCACAGTGTTTTGCCATGCATGCGCACTAGCTAGCGTGTCGCTGGAGAAAATTCACCTTTTTAAACCTGCAAGCAAGGTCTCTGTCACCTAAACAGTAACTAGGGCACTATAAACAGTTAGAAACACACATTTGTATTTCTAAGACTATAGTTTTCCTTTAAGCTCAGAAAACAGGAACAAACTCAGGCTTCCCAGGCGAATGAAAAGCCGTGCTCTCAGTCTGGGATTGCCCAGGCCAATGCTTGAGTCTAATTTAATCCAGCTGGAAGGTATAATCTAGATTTAACACATTATTAGTTAAAGTGGAAATGTAAATAAACAGCAGGAAATATTTTGAAACCTCTCTGCACTTTCTGTCCAAGCACCCTGACTTGCTAAAATGAGTTGAAATCCCAGCACTGTATCTCCGCAGAGAAAAATTTGGACTAAAAGCTGTGTGAAAACCAAAGTGATGACTAACAGTGTATTTTAGCGATAAACACTTTAAATGCTGTGTAGGTATAGGAGCATGTTTGCGTCTTCGTTTAATCAACAGCCAATTAACAACAGTACGATGCCACAGGCGCGCAGAGAACACGAACATGTGTCTGAAAGATGAAAACCACAGAACACACAAGCCCGCGCAATCTGCTCTTCGCAACTAATTAAGCCAAGAAGTACCAGATTTAAGCGCTTGCTCATACAGGGGATTAATTGGTAGTAAAAATAAACTGATACGTGTCCAGAGAAGCAGAATTTACGTGTAACACACTGCACTTCAGTACAAATCTTCAGCATAATTATACATCGTTTAAATTGAATTTGTCTGTCTGTGTTCAGCAACCAATGGTCAAGCCAACATTTTACACTTTTAGTACGTAGAGCTAGTAATGTATATAACCACAGAATATATTATCCTGTAGTAGTTATTACTTGCCGCTTATACTCTGTGAATGTCAGGGCAATAGTTAATAATTCTGTCAGAGGATTGCAATTTTTAGACCAAAAAAATCCAGTTTTACTATTTTGGCCAAATTTCTAGCAATTCAGCAGAGGGTCACTTTTATACCAAGCTCGTGTTTCTGCAAAGGGGTAAATGTTTGAATTGGCAATCCATGGGAAGAGAACAGTAATACAAGGGCAGGTAGGAATGTACCCAGGGTGCAAGGCCCACATTTTCCAAAGATGCCAAGGGACATCATAAAGACACAAGAGTTATTGAAGGAGTAGGTGAAATGCTTGATTCTGTGATCGTTCTATTGCTTAGACTACATCAAAGTGGGTGACAATCATCTCCATGGAGACAGGTCTTTCCAGAGGAGGCAGTATACTCCGATACAATTGGAACAAACTGAGGATACATTCAATCCTAAAGAGACCATTTAATACAATAATAGTGTAGTACCCTAAAGTACGAAAATATGGATTTTGTAAATATTGCAGGCACATGTGTTTTCAATGGAAAGGGCCTGGAATAATGACAGACATCTTCACACTCCTAAATGAATATCTACTGAAACAAAGTACATACCGACAGAGCAGGATGCTTGTGCCAAAATAAAATCACATATTTATTGCATGTAACTTAAAAAACTCCAAAATACACCCAGATCACCAATCATGACTGGCTAGACACCTGGCTCCAATCATTCTAACGCATTTTGTCACAGTCCAATGCGACTTCCTCCATGATATTTGGGTATTATAGCAATATAGAAATCACATGAAAGCAAGTAACAGCTTTGCATTTTAATGTATTTTGTTTTTTTGTCACTACACAAAGTATAAGTATTTATATTGGTCAGTGGATTGATCAGGGGTTCATTTGGGCAATTAATGGGCTGCTGATTTTAGAAGGGAGTAAATGCATATCTCATCAATGTGAGAGAAAGAATGAATTCATACATCTTCTTGATCACACAACTTTGGTGTATTTAAAAAAAAAACAAATATATTATACTGTACACAATATATTATGTTTGATCGGTCATGGATGATCACTTTCATTCAAACTTTAAATGAATGTGTGTGTGTGTGTACACACATAACTATACAAACACACACAACACAACACATTTGAAGTTTGAATGAAAGTGATCATCCATGACAAAACGAGTTTTAAGGGAGGGAGAGAAAAAAAAAAAAAAGGAAAAAAGCAAAAGAGAGAGAAAGAAGGAGAGAGAGATAGAAAGAAATAAAAGCAGAAAGAACAAACTTTTACACATAATTTAGACAGTGAAAAATATAACACACCTAATAAAAAAAATCTGCAAATATAAAAAAAAGAAACTTGTCTGTAGATCTCTTTACCACAGATTCCAAACATTGTTTAACAAATTAGTCAGAAACCAGTACCGACTCGCACCCATACAATAATGTATACAATCCAGTGTTTTACACACTCTAATAGGCTTAAGAGGATCTCAGGAAGACTAGTAGCCATGGAAAAGGCCTAGAAGTGTCTTTAATCCATGGGCCTCCAAACAACATGTGGGATAAGACCTTATTCATTCTGTACCATGCCACTAACTGACATTATTTACATGTTAAAGTTACATTGTTTAAGGTTTTTTTCCCTTTTTAGATTTAACAACATTTGAAAGTTTGTAAAATATTCCACTAATCACAAATTATTTATACAGGCAATATTGATCATATTGCCAATTTGTCTGTGTTGGACTAAATGAGGAGCTCTCAGGATAGACAGGAGCTGCTGCAAATCGTTTAGTAACTAGCTTTATCACGGATCTCTGATAAAGGTGAATGCTATCCTTTTTCGATGTATATCTACTCAGTACTAGTGCACATAGCAGAGAGCCTCTTATACTTAGCGCAGAGAACAGGTCAAAGGAATAGGACTAAAAGACAAACGTTGCTCTCATGGCAACCATAGAGTGTTTTGAATACCTGTCTGGTCGCATCCTAGATACCATGTCAATCACATAATCAGACCAAAAGGCTTTTGGTCCAATATTGTTCAACATCGTATCTAAAATGCAATCTATGGTTAAACTGTGCATTGGACTGTTTGCAGCAGTTCCTGCCTATCCGAACAGATCCTCTTATTTCAATATAGACAAACTGGCAATATGGTCTCAATAAATCATAGCTGCATCATGGTACTGAGATAGACAGATAGATAGATATACATACAATAATTCAACCAGCCCAAGGTACCAAAATGCTGCATACTATTATATGGTGCCAGGAGTTCCCTTCCTACATTGAATTAGCACAGCAAACAGCTAACATGTGTAGCTGGCATAAACATAATGACCAAGCCAATAAAAAATAAATAAAACTTTTTTTTAAAAAAGATGTAAAAAACAAACCAACAACCAAACAAAGGAAAAAGTAAATACATTAGAAGAAGGAAATTTGAGATATGGACGGCGAGGATATAACTCAAAAGTACTTCAAAGCTAGTGTAACATATCAAGAAGAAGAAAAAAAAAAAAAGGATAAATATCTCCTACTAATATATTTCAGATGAAAGTTTTGTGCACTAAAAGGCTGGATTCTCTTACAAAACAAGGGTTTACTCTGCATACCAAAGAGCAATTTTCTCATACACTTCAATGGAGAAACTTCTAGTCTGTAAGTAAACCTTTACTCTGCCAAGAGAATCCAGTCCTATATGCAGGCCTTCTAACGGGTACATTCACAATTTCGGGGTCCTTTCTTACCAGTCGTTCTAGTTCCCTGGTTTTCTCAGGCTGCACAATTACAATTATTTATATAGCGCCAACATATTCAGAGGTTCTGAACAACTAAAGAAAGGGTAAAGGGTAAAGAAAAGAAAAAAAAAAAATACATTTAATACTAAAAAACATGCATGATATATGACAACAGTAGGTGAAGAAAGCCCTGATCCAACAAGCTTATAATTTAAAAAAGCAGAGCAATCTTTTCATTAGGCCTGCTCGAGCTGTGCACCGGCAAGGTCCTGCAGGCTGAGGCACAGACCATTTTCCAGGTAGGCCCATCTGTTATCGGTGTCACAAATGGTACAAATTGCTTCATTGTCAACTCCCCCACCCACCCCCCACCACTTCCAAGCCCGCCCACCCACCCATCACAATCTGTGTACCTGTCTACAAAGTATTAAAACATGCAGTGCTACAATTATATTGAATAACACATCTCAAATCCACTTAAAGGGACACTATAGTCACCAAAACAACTTTAGCTTAATGAAACAGTTTTGGTGTATAGATCATGTGCCTGCAGTCTCAATGCTCAATTATCTGCCATTTAGGAGTTAAATCACTTTGTTTATTAACCCTAGTCACACCTTCCTGCGTGTGACTTGCACAGCCTTCCTAAACACTTCCTGTAAAGAGTAATCTAATGCTTATCCTTCCTTTATTGCAAGTTCTATTTAATTTAGATTTCCTTATCCCCTGCTATATTAATAGCTTGCTCTTGTATGTGATTAAAGTTTAATTTACAGAGCAAGAGATAAAATAGTTTAAGGTAAATTACATCTGATTGAAAGCGAAACCAGTTTTTTTTTTTCATGCAAGCTGTGTCAATCAGAGCCAGGGGAGGTGTGGCAAGGGCTGTATAAACAGAAACAAAGTGATTTAACTCCTATGATCTATACCAGGGGTAGGCAACCTTTTAGTAGTTCTGTGACAAATGGAGATTTAGAAGTCCATTGGAGTGCCGGTACTATTTTTGTTAAATTGAGTGTGCGTGTTGCCGTATTCTGCTTGTGTTATTTGTGGGTGCTGCAGTTGCTTTGTAGCATTGTATTTGTGTCTATGTGGGCTGTTACATTGTATAGAATTTGTTCATGATTAGTTTGTGGTATTGTGTATGGTTGTGTATGATACCTATGAATGTGGTCTGTGTATAGGGCTGTTTGTGGAATTGTGTGTGGATGACATGTCACATTGTGTGTTTGGTTTGGGTATATGTGTGTCTGTGTTTGTATGTGGATAGTCCATAGTGTTCTGTTTGTGGGGACTGTGTATTTGTATGTGGAGAGTTTTTATTATTTGTATAAGTGTGAGGCTTATTCTGCAGCTTTGTGTTTATCTAGCAGTGTGGGTGACTTCCCGGGGGTCCAGTAGGGACCGGGCTAGCAAGGTACAGGACAAGGGCAAGAGCTCCAATAGCTGCTGCGGGTTTCTCTACTCCAGAGCGGGGTTTTGTTCACTTGTGTGCTGGGCTATGGTGATCTTAGATCACTTCCTTTAAATGCTGTAATGCAGAAATTGAGGATTGCCCTTCATCACGTGCACTCACCACTCAGTTTACACTAAGAACCCCTGATACGCCTCTATGTTTGGCTCTAGTAGCCTTGAGTGTCGTAGCACTGCACCCTGAGTGCCATAGGTTGCTGGCCCCTAATGTATACACTAAATTGTTTCATTAAGCTAAAGTTGTTTAGGTGACTACAGTGTTCTTTTAAGGTTTACTTACTCCAAGCATCTTAACCATTACAGCCTGCATCAGCTGTCCACTCTCAGTCAATAACTGGCCAACTGCAAAAAATAACATTTTTGAAAACTGTATATGCTGGCTATTGATGGGGGACCCATGTATTATATTGTTTTCAGATTATTTCCTGGCTGGCTGATGGCACCCCATGTTGTTGTCAGAGGTGGAGTTACACCTCCAGCAGCCAAGGTGTCAAACTTGGAGTATCCCTTTAATTTATCCAACTATTACAATACAACTAAAATTAAATAATAGACATGCAGTTTTAATATAGATAATAGAACATTATCTTAATGGCCAGCATATTATGTAATCAAATCCATCACTAAGGGAATAGACATACTTTAATTATACCTGTCACAAAAATTACATGGGTGTACTTACAAGGGTTAAAGTTTTGCCTATTACCCCCCCCCCCCCATATCTCACTCCCCTCTCCATCTTCGGACGGATCTGGGAGCCACCCGGCGTTACTTGGACTCACTTGTAGGAGACCCTACGGGGCGAACGAGACTACATAGAGAAACAGAGGCCCACACGACGCTGCATTTCGCAGTAGGGACGACCTCTAGTAAGATTATACTTACACTGAGAAGTGACCTCAGGACGACATATGAGAGTTGACACACAGATGGAATGTCGACACAGCACACTCGCCCTATGAGGGGTGCACTTGCATGACACAGTACAGATTCAGGTAGCAACTAAAGACTAGAGGACTACACCTAACACCGCCAGACAAGAAGCAAGACAATGGAGATGACTTGCCACACCACGAAGCCACTCCACGTGGACTTCGCCCCGCACATGAGAACCAGATGAAGATCCAGCCCTTGACAATAGACACTCCGTACTAACCCTAAGTAACCACCACAGAGCGGGAGACGCTAGTGTCAGGGCTGACGGATGGGAGAGGCCATGGCCTGGTACTTGACTATAGTACTCTGTAAGACTGACTCGTACTGCACCCCCCACAGTAGTAGATACTATCTTGGGACTAACCCCATACCAGATGTCTGGTAAGAGAATGCACGCAAGACTTATGTGTTCACCAAGGTTGTAGACCACTGGGCTTACGAAAGTGCCAATGTTATTGGCGTTACTCTTTGCGCATGTTGTGCCCACGCCATGGTAGTTCAGATGCAGACTGAGGTCTACGAATCTCACCACAAGTTAGCGCATTACTACCTGATACTGTAAGGAATGTGCTTAGCAGTCCTGTTAGTAAGATAATGCATGTTATGTTGTGACCTGCGTGTCACCGATATATGACTGAGCGGACATCACTTCCTACTAAAATTGTTATGGTTTCATTTTGAAGGGACCTGCGTGTCCTAATTGTCGCACATTCATAGCTATTTGACGATCTGAAAGATTGCACGTTCAATAAAAACGTATTTACAAAAAAAAAAAAAAAAAGTTTTGCCTATTCATTGCCCTTGCCAAATTACTTGCAAAGATATAGATAAGATTGAATTGCTTACAGAAGATTACGGGTTCTTTTTGCTCATATATGGCGGTGACTAGAGCTAGATGTGAATTGTAGTTTTCACACAATATAGTAAACGTTGCCAGAGTGTAATGTGTATTGTACCCCTGCATTTCTTTCTGGAACAAAGTCAAGTCATACGGTGACAAATGGTTGTGTAGAGAC